GTAGCAAATATTCCTATAAAGCATGGGGTATATGACGAATAAAAAGACAAATGAAGAAGCAAATCCCAAATGAAACAACTAGAACCCATCAATCATTCATACAAGACTTTCGGTACTGCTACCGCTTTTTCTGACCGGCTTCCCATTATTCACAGACATACTATCATGCCACTTTACCTCGGTTTCCGTCCTCACTGCGATCCCCATCTGACCTTTGTGCAATCCATCTCCCTTTCCGTGACCACTCTCCACATCAGTGACATCACTCATTTTATCATAGTCTCCTTCTATATCGCCGGCCCCAATCTCTGTAGTATGGTGCGCCGTTCTCCTACTCATTTCATAACCTTCGGGGCGGCGGCCAGTTCTTCCCTGTCCATATCCTTCGGTAGATTTCTTTTGACTCCGTGAACGATCACTTTCTCCGAAAATTTTCGGGATAATGCGCACAAAGATGGGTTTAAGTGCGGGCGCACACGCGCAAACAAATGATAAGCCGACTTCGATCGTTGTAATACAGAAAAGAAGAGAATATGTGATATCTGCTGGAGGTTTGCGATCGAAAGAATCGAGAAGGATGATCCGAATAACACCTATGATCACGGTTCTGTGGTAGTAGGTTAGAAAAGTTCGGCCTGTCAAGAGTTATGGCGAGAAATGGACGATTACTCACACAAGACCAAATGACAATATAGCAACAAGCATCAACTTTTGCCTCCGTGAGATCTGTAGATTGTAGACAATCCACGTTGGCATCAACAAAGCCAGCATGTCAGTCAAAACACTGACACTTGCTGTCCCGGTAACAAAGTTTGCAAAGTTCATGCAGACGGCATCAGGGTACGAGGCAGGGTACCAGTTTGCGGCAATAGGAACACAATGGAAAGTGGTGAGAAGGAATGTCACAACCATCATGACGCCATTGAAAATCAAGAGACCAATGATCGTTAGTCTGACATTGGATTTCTGGCCGGTGAGGCGAAGTAGGAAGAGAAGGATGGAGGTTTTCACCAGAGCTAAGATGGGATTGTAGATAAGTTCGGTCTGGATTAATCAGTACTAAGCAAGGAGAGATATTCACACCAAGAACTAACCGCATAGCCATATTTTGCACCGGGCACTGAGTCCCAATCGGCTGGGAGATCCCATACGTGTATGCCAACATAATTGTACTTTATCACTACTGGCTGTTAGCAGAGTTTCGATGGTGAGGTCGGTGAAGGAAGAGCTTTACCTTTGTATGAAGTATATGTCTCCGCCCAGTAAACGATCTAGAAAGGGAGAAGTTCAGCGGAAGATCTTGTTGTTAATCGTCCTCCCAGCATCAGAGCCTGACCAGATCGCAAGGTCGATCAAGAACTCAACTATCATATCCATGCACTTCATAAAAGTCTTTTCCAGAATGACACTTCTATGGCCTGCGAATCGTGAATAAACTCACCAAAGCAAAGCAAATTACCCAATCATCTGCAACGGGTTAGCGACGGGTTGCATTCAAATCTCAAAATGTTGATTCTCAGAAGAAATGAGCATAACTAATAGCAGTCACATACCTGCAGCAAAAGATCTAGTCAAGGATCTACTATACAATCGTAAAAACAGGGCAACTGTCGCAATGGCCGGAAAGACAAAAGTGATCGCGAATGCCTGAGCTTGACGATTATCGTGAGGAAGATCCGTAACAGCAGCAGCACTGGTAGCCATGTTGTAGTCGGTGAACCAGTCACAATTTCACCCTGGGGTTCATGTACAAGAAAGTGGAATGCAAACGACAATGGGCCACCCTCACTGATACGATTGAGAAAAGGAACGAAAAGTGAATATCAAAAAATGGGACCGTACACGACGCGCGACGAACAGGCCATTATATTATGATAAAGTCAATTAGCAGATGCAAATCAATGCAACCGAGGGTCCATCACCACATGGCAAACCAAGGATTGAGAAGTTCAATGCAGAAAACAAACCCAGTCAAGGGGATTCAGAAGGAAAGGTCGAAAGAAAGCGAGAAAGATAAAACGAGGTATTGAGTTTTCAACTCCACCAGGATTTTGACAAACAACGAGTCAAATTTTATGAGGATTAAACGGGACCGGGATGATGTCTATGCTCTGAAAGGTCTGATTGGCCTGATTTATCTGTATGAATACTGCTTTCCCTGATGGGGCAACGATACTGTATGTGCAACAGTAGTAGGATGGATCTTTTGATTTTCATTGTACCCGAGCATTATGACTATGCCAAATTTGTGTTCTCTCAACCCGTACCCAGAAACCCAAGTAAAGCAAGGCAATTCCGCTCCGGGTAAAGCCAGGGGTATGGAACACGGAAGAAATTCTTGTGGAGTGCTGTACCTTTTGATTGCATCGCGGATTTGAACTTGAAATTTGCGATTGTGTGACAAAGGGCAAAGATGGGGTGGGCGAGTGCCTAGAGGGTGAGGGGGCGAGGGAGGTTGGAGAAGGGACCGAGGAAGCAGCCAGTGGCAATCAGTGCAATTCCGAAATATACAATGTGTTCCACACGGCGATTAAATTCAGAATCTGCAACCCCCTTTCCTCCTGCATTCTTTTATTTCCGTTCAACATCTGCCGACTGTAACACTGCACACACACATGCAGTGTGTAATACGGATTCTGTTCGTATGGGAATATGGGAAGGTATCATCTTAATCGCCGGTACCACTAAGGAGGAATAAAAAGACACAATATGTGTAGCGTAACGGCGTTGAGGAAAGGCGGGGTTTTACGTCTCTTTTCTTTTTATATGCTGATGCCATGTGTTTTGGAAGTTTGAAGGGAGTAACGTTACGGTACCGAGTTCTATGCCATAGAACTGATATTGATGTCAATGCAGCGAGTCCGGTCGGCCTATGTATTCTACTTATGTAGCCAATTCTGGTCTTAGTTCTACTCTAAATTGATCGAAAGAGCTTAGCTACACAGACTTGGAGATTAGATTTCTGATCAATTCCAGGATCTACGTAACGTCTTGGCAAGTACAATTAGGTAGCTAATTCAATCTGATAAACGCATAATAGACTGACTACTCAAATCTGGATGTTTGACAGTCATAGGACTTTGAACCAATCGTGCAAAAGCATGTGTATCATACAGTTGGTACTTCGCACTTTGTAGATTCATTATTGACAAAAATTTACCTTCATCTGATGATCAGCTGGGGTTGAACTTCGTAAATGAGACTTCCCGCTCTATAGCCTCGAGATAGCAAAAATACTACTTCGTACTAGTCGTCGTAAGGAAGGATTCGGGTCGCAGCTTTTTCCATATCAATCTTCGAGAACAAAATTACTTTTCAAAGTTTTAACCTTAACCCCCATTGATTTTCTCTAGACTGAAAATTCTTCGAGTATCAAGGGGTATTCTACTGGGAATTTCCATGAAATGCATCGAAGACCCTGGTATTTACCGCCCGCACCCCATAAAATATCGGTCGATAAAGACCAGAGTGGATAACCCGAGATACTTATCACTATCAGCTGTGCCTAGGTACTCCCTTGAGAATTCATACAGATTACTTCCTCAGGATTATGTACGTTCTTTTCACAACTTATTAGGAAAACGCGGCCGTTGCCGCTGATATACGAAGTAATTTACAAGCTGACTCAAGCGGCGGAAGGGCATTGATCATTGAAAGGCCTGATGCCCTAAGGGAATGGAGTGCTGTATGTGAGAACCCTTAAAGAGTACAGTCTTTCATAGTAAATGTTATCATAGAGAGTTGAATATTACCTGGGTAGGTTTGTTATCGTAAGATTTTACCTTGTACGAGAGCAGAACCTTCAAGGTTCGAAAATCGAGACTGCAAGCGATGGATATGCATGTACAAACGAAAGGAGAAGAAAACGTGGCGAATTCGGGCTCACGAACGATTCAAGCGGAAGCCTCGTTTCGATTGGTTGATTTGTGAACTATCGATGCCCCGCTGTACTTCTGCAGCTTCGCGGAGTACGGTTCTCTAAAGTTTGATCCATTTCTGCTGGTTTTTACGGCTTACTCTCTGCAGGTGGGTAATGAATCTAATAGATCTTGACCATAACACTGGAATCTTAAGCTCATAGGCGAGCCGTTAGACGAAATAAACCACGCATGCATGTACAGTACACTCGTACACTCGTACATTCGCATAGTCTCTTCCGTCTGAGTACGTATTCTAGGTTCTTTCCAAAGTATCACTCAATTGTCAAATCTCAGCAAGTCTAGAGAAGCATTTAAATTTAGAATGCCTCATTTGAGTCGAAACCCCATTTTGTTATCATATGTTTGTCAATTTTAATGCTTCGACTTTGATATACAATTTACATCGCTCATTGGTCGTCCCTGGAGGGATCAATGAGTATCCAATGATATGATAATTTCATATTAATAAGTATTAGATCTCGTTATCGAATATCCACAGGACCCATATCTTTGATCTCAATTAGCCTCTAGTTCTCTTATGCAACGACCGGGTAGATCAGGGCTCAAAGTGGGCACCCTTTCTTTTCAGGTGTTTACGCCGAATGTACTATTGGCCATCCCCCCAGCAAATCCACATTCTGTCAAAATATTCTAAGGATATGTTTGATGCCGAGTTGTCCGAGATTCAAACATGGCGAGATTTCAATCTAACATGAATCAATTATAGATCCTGATATGTTAATTCATGTGCTGAAGCTTTGTCAAATCTGGTCCTGACATAGGCTCGCAACCAGAATGGGAAAGCTTTCTCCATGAGATCTCCACAATGTCTTCCCTTTTGGGAAAGCAGTCTTTTCAGCCACGCCGAGATTCAGACACCTAGACTTGCCTCAAGAGACAATTTCTGTTAAATAGTTGGCCCCCAAGCCCTTTCATTTCAGTCCACGCCTCTTTTGACCTTCCGAGTCCTGTCAAGTTCATACATCTAGAGAAGGAAGTTACTCTTGCATATCAGGTAGTTCTCCCTTGAACCCTTGGGACCCCGCTATGTTTCGCGACTGTTACTGATAAATTACAGTCATGAAGACTTCACCATCTTTAGCGGCAGCGGCTGCTGTCTTGGGTGCCGTTTCAGCACAAAGCACTGTAACCGCAGCCTTGAGCCCTGCCACAACCACTGTTGTTTCAACCGCCACACCAGCTCTATTCAGTAATGAAGTAGTTCAGTTGACTGATGGCGTTCTTGATAACGTCGCTGCTGCCATCAACAACGAATCCATCTCTTCTCTCTTCTCTTTTGACTCTGATTCCACCGCTTCGAAGAGATCGACTCGAGCATGCAAACTTCTCCCTGGTGATGCGTTGTGGCCCATTACTTTAATTTGGGATATTTTTGACATCCTCCTTGGCGGTGCTTTGATCAAGTCCACTCCTTTGGCCGCTGTCTGTTACCCGGAATGGCCTCAATATGATGCAGCCAAATGTGCATCTGTCACAGCTGACTGGTACTTTTCAGAGTTGCAGTAAGAATCATCCAATCGGACACATTATTAGATGCTGACTTCGACACAGCGAGGCTGATCCAACTTCGATTCAATTGCCTCTCTACCAGGGTCGTACTTGTATGCCTCCTGGGTTTAACTATACAAACACCTGTGAGCAAGGTGGCTACCCCAGTTACGTTGTCAACGTCACAAACGTGGCACAAATTCAACTTGCTGTCAATTTCGCAAGAAATCTTGACCTTTCCCTTGTAATCAAGAATACTGGTCACGATTTCAACGGTAAAGCATCTGGCAAGGGTGCTCTCACCATCTGGACTCATTATCTCAAAAATAAAGCCTATTTACCAAACTTTGTAGCTGCTAATGGCTACTCTGGACCTGCTATCAAGGTTGGCTCCGGTATCTTGGTTCACGAAGCCTACGAATATGCCAAGAGCTTAGGAGGTACTATAGTTGGTGGTGAAGCTGTCGCTGTAGGAATGGGTGGTGGTTATATTGCCGGTGGTGGCCACTCGCCTTTGAGCAGCATGTATGGCATGGGATCTGATCAAGTCTTGGCCATGGAAGTTGTCCTTGCCAATGGTAAATTTATCACTTGTGATTCCAAAACTAACTCCGATGTCTTCTGGATGCTTCGCGGTGGTGGTGGTAGCACTATTGGCGTTGTCACATCTCTCACCGTCAAACTTCTCCCCAAACTCGAAACCACCACAGTTACCTTCAACTTCACTGTCGCAGATACTCCCGGTAACGACTCCTTCTGGGCAGGTGTTCAAGCTTATATCGACAACGCTGAAACCTTCGTCGATGCTGGTACCTACGGATACTACTACCTTGGAGCTAGCGCCTTCGAGATCGGAACCGACGTTGGTGGTAGTGATGCTTATTATTTCCGTATGGAATCTTTCGTCGCGCCAAACATGACAATTGCTGAGACCCAAGCACTTCTCAAGCCTTGGTTCGATGTTCTTGACAGCAACAACATCACATATACTCCTTGGTACAATCACGCTGACAACTTGTAAGTTATCCCTAGCATTTTATTTTCTTCCTAATCATAATTCAACCATACTGACATTCATCCCTAGCCACGATGCCTGGGTTGTTTCCTTCCCGGAAGAATATGTCGGAACTGACATTGTCAAAACTGCTTCTCGCCTTATGCCTCGCTCTGTATTTGAGGACGATGATCTCCGCAATCAAACCTTTGCCGCTCACAAATCTGCCGTCGAACAAGGTTTCTTCATCGCTGGCTTCCATATCTCCGGTACCGGTATTGCTGTCGACCCACCCACTGATTCCGCTGTTCTTCCCGCGTGGCGTGAAACCATCATGCACACTATCGTCGGTGGTGAATGGGAGGCTACTAGCTCCTGGGCCGAGATCGAGGTTGTTGTAAAGGCTGTTACAGCCTTCATGGATACTTTCCGTGCCATTGCTCCTAATTCCGGCTCCTATATGTCAGAAGGTGACCTCATCGAGCCTAATCAAACACAAGCATTCTACGGTGCCAACTATGATAGACTTTATGCGATGAAGCAAAAATATGACCCTAGCGGCGTATTCTTTGCTCTCACTGCTGTCGGATCAGTCGATTGGGAAATCCAGACCACTGATCCTATTCCATATAACTGGAACACCAACGGTAGACGTTGCCCAGTCTGAAGCTGGGGTCTGAAGAGATTGTAAATAGAACCAAAATCGTCCGTAAATAGTTGACGAATAGATTGATAATATTAATGATAATGAATCCTTTTCTTCGAAGCTCAGTAAAATGCGTCTGTAAATGTTAATATTTCATCTTCTTGTTGGACCAAATGACACAATCCCAGGAGATCTTACCCTGTCTATGTAACCAGACGTACATCTGGGTAGACATTGAGATGTAATGAAGTAAATTGCGGTTTCTGGCTAGTCAAACAATAAACTGGTGTTGATTTTTCTGTATTGTGACTGTTAATTTTATCATGCTGTTGAGGTCTATCTAGAATATCAACGATTCACTTCTAGGACGCTTTATGACACTCCGGATGAGAATTGGATCAGACAAAACTCGATCTAGAGAATAGTTGACGATATACTAAGCATTAACTGATAATATGTATCTGTTTTAAGTATAGTCTAGAGCAAGAATGGCTGAAATGATAAGCTGAAGATCTTGGACTGGCTTTCTGGGGAGAGTAACATGAACAATCCAGTACCTATGGAATGTCTGTTCATCATTCTCCCCCTCCAAACCGTTAGTATTGAACTGACTGACGAAGCTGAAACGCGCCAAAATTAGAAATCTGGAGAGAAAGACCTGTCAAAAGGCCGTTGAGATTTTGTGGGAAGAACAGGGTCGTTCCGCTACATTGGGTGGCAGTGAATTGAGTTACCAGGCGAGTGATAGATAGCTTAGAGATGGCAATCGCGAAAAGCGTGATGCAACTGAGAGCATACTGCAGAAATCCAAATGTTCCAGCAATTCATTGTTGCTATTGGATCAGATGATGACAACCCTTCTCCGAAGATGAAAATTGAAGACGAATGAGTCGATACCATCAGACATTATTGAGATTCTGGGGTCTGTCCCGAACGTTCAAAATACATTTGCTGTATTGTTCATCAAGCTCATAGATATATCGGAAATCGACTCGTTCCTGAAGGTCGAATCGGACATGGGGGAATGACAAGTGCACTATCAAGCCCTGCGCTATCATTCATTCGAGACCTGAGTTCCCCTCGGAATAAGTGTGGTAGGTAGAGAAATAGAGCATACGAGGTGATGCCATGCGGTCTTTAAACACGTCTCTGTCCTATGCTGCCTTTTTCGACTCGTCCCATGAAATTGATTACCGGGATGAAGTTCATGAGCACCTTGATAACCCTCATCATTGCGAGGTCTCGACACCAGTCTCAATACCAATCTTGAGAGTTGTCTTGGGCGATGCACACACCGAATCGACCAGCAATTTCGGTACCTGAAACTCCTAATATCTTTGGTCGCATCTTAATATGAGTTTGACAACGCTCTTGAGCTCCTGTTTCGTCAGGTCTCAATATGCTCTGAGAAGGTCTCAAGGTCGAACAATCTGGTCGAGATGATCGTCTGTTGCTCCCCCCATTCGCGAGACAATTGACAGAGATGGTGGGTGAATATTGCTCCTAGAGTTAGACAAAACACTCCGTAGTCATGATTCAAGTAGTTCCGTTCTATCAAAATGGTTTGACATCATCTGTTTAGCTATCAACTTTGAAGCAAATGAGATTCAGATCGACAATTTAGGATATATAGAATCTACTCCCGGGTAGAATCAGCAATCTTTGACTAGTATTGCCAGATCAGATTCAACCAAGAAATTGTGCCTTGAGGCTAGCAAGTGGGCTAAATATCCCAGCCCAGTGTATTGTATTGAAATTGCCCGGAGCTGACAGTAACGACTCAAATCTCCATGTTGTAGAACAGAGATGATTTCACAGCATTTGCAACTTTGCGAAGTTTGCTTGAAATCATCATAATCTTCGAATGATCCCGATTCTTTCAACGGAGACGAACTGATCGTAACCAATAAATGAATGATAAGGCTGCGCCTATCTCTTCATATAAGCTTGAAGTTCTTCATTATAGTCGTTGTTAAAGTATTTCGTGATCATTGATAGGTAATGGAAACCAAATCAAAAGTGATGAACAGGTCTTAGTATTATAGTGCCAAAGAGTACCTCAATCCTTTGCATCGAAACTACATTAATTCACAATATTTTGATAAATTTGAGAATGAAACAATTGACATATTATGTGAACAACAATACGTACAATGCAAAATAAAATATAGCGAGATTAGTTTATATGCCAATTTGATGTAATGCGTTCAATTCTGGCATCACATTCTCTAAGATTATCTACGACACCGCCAAACCGCGTCCTCTCAACCTCACCACCCTTTACCCCTCATTCCCTTTGACAATTAATTATTGAACCACCAGATCAACCAAACTCAAGTATTATTTGACTCAATGCCCAACTGCTTCGATTAAACTCATGTTGCCATAATTGTATCCCTAACTTTATTTCACCAATCTCGCAGACAATATTCAGGGTAATCTCCTATGCGCAGAATGTCTACCATCACCATTGGAAACCTACCCCGTTTGTCCTCAAAAGCTCTCTCTGATATTCTTCTTTCTCACGCATCGTCAAACCTGGATTCCCCTTCCAAGCCGGAGAATTTAGCTATCATTGATGTCCGTGATGATGGTACGTCTGTCTCGGGCACTATTTTCTGTTTATGAAGATTACTGCGATTCGTTTCAGTCATTGCAAATCACTAACTTCAATCTACTGTCACAGATCACATAGGCGGTCATATCAAACATTCTACCCATGTCCCATCCTCCACTCTCGATTACAAGATCCCCGAATTGGTTCGAAAACTTAAAGATAAAGATACAGTTGTATTTCACTGTGCTTTGAGTCAGCAGAGAGGCCCCAGTGCCGCATTGAGATACATACGCGAAAGGGAGAGGATTATGGGCGCGGGTGCCGGCATGAGCGCTGGATCTGTTGGAGAAGCTATGAAGAAGAATAAAGAGGTAGTCGAGAACAAAGGCAATGACGGGGAATGGGAGGATATTGAAGAGAAACCCGAGAAAAAAGAGCAAAAGGTCTACGTTCTGGATCAAGGGTTCGTAGGATGGCAAGAGATATATGGCGAAGATTCACGTTTGACAGAAGGATATCGGAAAGAGATCTGGGAAAATGGTTATTGAGATGAGACTGGGAATTTCACCAACCAATTCCCTGCAATAAAACAATTTTAAGCACACATCACGAGTCTTCATGGTAGAATACACTATTATTTTATACATAGGAATGAAAATCCTTTTCTTCTGGGGGGGAGGGGGGCTTGTTTGCTATGTGTAGCTCGCGGCATTCATCCGAATTATGTTCCACTCGAATTCGACACAACAGGTTGCAAGGTAGAAGCCCTGTCTCTACCTCATTCACTGGCTTTGTCTCCTCTACATCTTCTACCAGATCTACTACCTTCTGGATTGTTCCCTCTCTTAAGACGGAAAGTTCCCGCTCCGGAAATGTCAGACCCTACCGGCTGGAGATCATTTACTACGTCGATATCTGGCTCATCTAATTGGCGGGCGTACATGGTTTGTAGTTGAGCGATCAAGATCGCTGACAATCCTTTGGCAGCACTTTGATTCATACAGAAAATTGATCATCCGATTATCTTGTGGACTGCAGAGGCCTATGGCCTTAAGCAAGTCATCAAAAGAGACAGTAAGATGGGTGCAATCTATATCATCCGCAAGCTATGTAGCTGATCTCATTGGTGATGTGCCATGACGCTCGAAGGCTTGTCTTTCCTCGAGTTCTTGATTACTTTTCTTTTTGAAAGATCCAAGAGCATGAGGAATTTATTAGGCAGCTTCAAAAGTCTCCCAAGATTATACCGCAAGTTCTCGGAAGGATTGACATAACGTAGTCCAGGCTGTGCAACAAGCATCCTTCGAACTTGTTAAGTGAATGCTCTGTTGACAAGTATCTCCTCAGCCTAGTATAAAAATGCAACATCATTGAGAGACATTACCTTCGGATAGCTATAATGAAAATGCGGTATTGCTAGTCGTCAATTTGTGAAACAGATCAACTGCAGACTTTACAATTGGGGCGGGGGCGCTGATTGCAAGACAGATGAGAAAACGGCCTGGGTGAAAATAGGATTGAATCGATTGCTCCATAGGATGTTTCAATGTTATTTTGGGTTTCTCTTCGCTTGCAAAATGTGGAGTTGTTCGCGTATTTCCTGATGCATCTTCATTTAGCTTTGCTACCACATCATTTCCCTCAACGATAGATTACCTTTGAAGACGGGGTATTGTCAAATTGCGTTGGTCCCTTGATCAATGTTAAATTCTGCCTTGCTGAATTATGTACTTTGCTCCAGTATCTTTCAAAAATCGGTCGAGGCAGCCCATGTCTACATTTGATGCCTTGAAACGAGCGACCGACGTGATGTGTCAAAAACTCTCGTGGGATACTGGATCAAACTTAGACAAGAGCCGTATTACATTTATGCTATCACAATTTTGTTCAACTCCCACTTTCAGCCAGTGTAGGCAATAGTATTTCCCGTATTTCGTATACGGATTAGTTTAGTAGTGCATATCGAGTTTTTTCGAAATACATACGTATATAGTATAGAATTCAATACTACTGAAAGTATTCAATATCATTTAGTTATTTAATACTATTAATAATATACTGAAATACTAGAATTCAATATAAAATATATATTCCTATCCAAATTAAATTAGAAATAAGAGATTCCTATTCAATTTGAAATAAGGAATAGAATTTTATTATTTAATTTGAATAGAAATGTATACTTTATATTGAATTCCAGTATTTCAATATATTACTAATATTCTCTAGATATATAAATATATATAAGAGTGGTAGAGTTTCCTTTTTATATTTACTAGCTATAATATCAATATACTAATACGCGCCACAGTTTCACTGTAGTATACTATTACCTACACTGCTCTCAGCATAGTCATCTCGTAGTTCTCTCTTGACAACATCTTTTGTAATTCTCGTGTGCGAATTAGGTCTTATTATACCCAGGCATAGATGCTTTTTGTTTTGTGGTCTTGCAGTCACTGGGCTTAGATGAAGCCATAGCATAGTCGAGCTCAAGGGATTGAATAACCCGCGCTGATTTCGGAACTCGTGTAAAGAGGCCCAAAAATTCAGAGTCAGATGAGTCAAACGTGATGGAGATTCTCGTCGGCAATTTCTAAAGATATATTGGATACAGTTTCGCTTGTAGTTCTGCGATGTTGAGAAGGGGGTAACGAGGTGGCGTTCCAGTCATGACTAGATAGACATAATACTCTGTAATTGAGGACTCTCAAAGAGATGGAGATACAAAATTGTTTTTGCATGTCTCATGGTACAGCCGCATAAAATGAACTATGGGTTAAAACAGCAACTGTCATGTCGACCTTTGCCCGTATGAATCGATAGAACGTGTTGGCTTTGATAGGAGACAGACCTCGAGAATCCAGGGCTACCCTATTCAGTTAGGTGAAGATGAGCCTCTACATCATATCAATGGCTGAGTGCATGAGAATTCAAGAACCCCCAGCAAAGAAACACGAAGGGGTATAAATAATGGGACGGTATTTTCAGTGTTCTGGGGCATTAGCACATGGTCAAAATCAAATTTACATATGTGTTCAATTCGTTCTAAGCCTTCGACTCGCAATCGTGTCAGGGCCTTGGGGTCCTACGAGTCACAATTCATGAGTTTCATTTTGGTAAGTCATATCTATTAGCTTTACTCTCTTAAATCCCTCGGTGCTTCTTGTTGAATACCTCCAACTAATCCAGATGTTATCCCTCACTGATTTGAACCTTGGTGGCGATGATGAGATTACCAATGTGGTTGTCACTCGGATATTTTCAATACATCGGGTTTGAAAAAGAGATTGAAAGTCCTTGTGCAAATTGAACTGTTTTCCTTGTACAACATTGAGTGGTGTAGACGAGACTCGTCGAAGACCATATTCGATGCAGCGACTTCTAGAGTCTGCGGGAATCTTCAATCCGATATGTAAATAGTCATGCCGCGTTAACAGGTGGGTCTTCCCTTTCATCCAACAATGTGGCTTCTTTCGGCGTGTCTTTATTTCTATGAGAGAAAGGCATTTTCTGTCAGAGTCTATAGAATTACTTGAAAACCCAAAACATTTCCCCCCCCCCTTACATTTAGCGAGTTCCGTCTCCAAGATACATGACTACAAATTGAATTGAATCAAACATCTTGTAGAACAGGAGAACGGGAGTCCAAGAAAGTCTCCATGTTAAAGGTAGAAATGTTTGAGACATTCATGGAACCGGTGCAGCGATGTTCAGTTGAAGTCGATGATCGAGAATCGAGGATCGAGGGAGACGACCAAAGACATTCTTGTAGAATAAGAAGATTCAAGGATTTGATACCCAGCATGACCGATTGTTGAGGCACATAAGAGGTGAACTTTTGAATGACTAACAAAAAAGTAATGTTTCCTGATATGTTCACTGTTAAATATTTGACGCCTAGAACAATTTCAAATTGCACTGGAACAATGACTTGTTATGTTTTTGATATGCTTCATATTATTATCTAGAACAACAAAATAAGAAAAGGGATGATCGCGCAGGTTTCTCAGCTTTGGTGTTGATTACAGATATAAAGGCATGTGGCATGTGTGACATGTGATTGAAGTTTGGGGTCTGGAAACGAACGGGTCTCTCAATTATTGAGTGCAGTTATGTAATCCCAGCAATCGAAACACAGTATTAACAGTGGATGTTGTGTTGTTCTCCATCCATATGGGATTCGAGAGTTCTGAGCTTTGAGCTGGCACTTGGTCTACCAGTGTGAAAGATGGTATGTAGACACACCTTGCCTCAAATAATGTTGATGTGAAATGATGAATGAATGAACGGATAGAAAATTACTGAAATTCAATCAATCGCCCTAGGGGATATGTGTTATGAATTGAGATACATGATTCGACTATCAGAAACACTCCCGAGGTTTCGTTGTCAATCATGTGTTTGCAGGTGATAATCACAATGTATGATCCAGTGCTGTCATGTCGGTGGTCAAAAACCTTGTGGATCCACTATCGTGGGAATTCAAAATTTCCGCATTGGACCATAAAATAGGAAGGAGAGAAATTGACACGTGTTAGACATCACAATACCGAGTAGATTAGGATCCACCGGAGAAACTCGGATTGCATGATCAAAGTAATCAATGACAATTCAAAGACGCAGACCTCTCCACATTGACTGTCAACCCCATGGGCAAGAATGGGGCGGTCCGCGTTATCTCTTGGTGTAAGAACTAAGGTACGGAAGAGAGAATTAGGTATCGCGAGATTTCTCTCATGTACGCTGCCTCGTGAGTAACCTTAGGTAGAAATCTTACTTGAGGATTGCGATTCCAAATTCCATGAGGCATATCCTGATACAACAGCGACGGGCCGTTAATTCCTAACCCATGCACACGTGCGAGATAAAAAGTTGAAGGACATGAGAGATTTAGGATAGTTGCATTAGCCGTGAGGTGAGGCAAAAAGAAAAAAGAGTTGAGGCAAGAACGGCAAAATGGAGATTTGGAAGACGCAACACCTCTAGGCTCTAGCACTCTAACACTATCACGACCTAAGGAGGGATTAATACTTTAGCGCGTGGTCGCCAATAGCTAGCTGGTCGCTGGTAGATGGCGCGAGACGCTGACGAGGGAGGCTATGTCGAGAGGTTCGATGCAATGCTGTACGAAGGAGAAACGATTTACGGTAGGTAGTTAGTAATTGCCATGTTACATTCAACGTTTTTGTTGTATTAACCTTACACATGAGGATGAGTATGGCCATCTGCATACATGTGAGCCAAGGCATAGAAATGTGATAATTGACACAATTGGCAAATGAAGAAGGCGGCTATTGCGTCTACACGTGTGTGAAAATGTTGAGGATATTTCAATTTTTGAGAGTTACTCAGTGGCAGTGATGATTGTGAATATGATTGCCAGTCGCATTCAGCAAATTGATTTGCAGGTTTCCATTCGGGTCTGGGAGAATGTGAAGACAGGATCGTGATTTCCTCAACATGAGCTGATTTTTAGATCCTTCCCTTGCCGCCATGATCTATATCTATTTGTTTTTCATTTTTTTTCAACCGTTGACCATGACCATGTACGACGTATTATTTCGTCAATTGTAAGTTCAACGTCGTGTATAAGTGGAGCTAGGCGGTGTTTAACGACAAAAGGACCGAAAAGGAGAGAACGGCTTCCTGGATAAGTTCATTCGGGTAAAGGGCCATGGTTGGAGCATGGCATGATTTTTCCGGATAACATCATACATCCAGCATACATGATTGGAATCGAGATGATATTGAGTGATTGATTGATTGATTGATTACCTTAGCAAGTGGGAAAATGAAGACATCGTGAGATTTTTGGTGGGGCTGGTTATCGTCACAATCGCATAGCCTGCAGAGAGTGAAAAGGTGGATCAGATTACTGGGTAGGTACTGGGTAGGTACTAGGTAGGACTAGGGAGATGAGGATAGGATAATCTATCATTGCCGTGCCCGGTTATCTGTACACCTTATCTGTACGAGGAGGGAGCGAGAGTCGAGAGGTTTACAATTTATGATGATTGTAAGGGTAAGTATTGTAAAACACACCAAAAAGCGATTATACTTTTCCTTATATATAAGAACTTTAATCAATCAAAATATTATACTTTTTAAAAATTAATATAACAACTTTAATATATTATAAATATAGATGTCAATATATTAATATATTAAAATAAGTTATTTCTTAATAATTCTATTAAATAGTTTATCAAAATTTTTAAAATCTTTGAAAGTTTTATAAGTCTTTATAAATAAAAAAGAATTTGAAAATTGAAATTTAAGAAGATAATTTTAATATATATTTGAATTGTTTAAAATAGTAATAGAATATATAAAAACAGTAAGTTTTTAGTAAAAGTGGGTTTTACATCACTTATTCATATAACCACTGTACAATCGATCAAGGACCACGATTATTGCAACTGCAGTACTAGGTAGGTAGTTTGTCAGTCGCAAAGTTTCGAAGAAGGATTATTCCATTCAAGTGAACCCAAGCATGATGAAATCTTTTTACTCCGTGATGCCCGCTTCCGATGCCGTTTCATCCATTCCATCAATTAATCAATCAATTGCCTCATTATCATTCATTACCAAAATCAATCAATCGATGAACATTACTCGGACGTTGGAAACTCCACTATGAAATTGACCTCATGATTTGTACTTTGTTGGTTTGAATGATCATACTAGGAGGTAGGTATACATATATCCAAGACACTCACACTCACACTCACACGCACACTCACACGCACATTCACTCACACCCTCACTCACACCCTCACTATGGAACCTCATGATTACCTTCAGATGTGCTGGTGGGGGGTGTGTTTCTCATGTTGGAATAGGGAGTACCTAGTACATACAGTGTGAGCGTGTATCAAGTATTAAAGTTGAGAGATGCATCTACGGTGGAGCAAGTATATATGCAATGAAAACAAATAAAGAAAGTTTAAATAATGTGAATGTGAATGTGAATCCTTGTTATTGCATGAGACGATACATAGTCCGCACAGTGTACATATGAATTTACCGGATTTCTATCTACCTACCACCGACCAGGTACATACTGGGTACTCGTGATCATTCATTTCCTCATTTCCTCATTTCCTCATTCCCTCCTGAACATCGCAGATAGCAGTTTCATGTGTTCTTTTGCAGAATCACCAATGGCCTTGGATGTGCAATGTGCAATGTGCAGATACAATACATATTACTTCCTACATTTATCCGATTTGCTCCGGTCTGGACTCTGGACCATCGACCAGATCATGCAATTAATGCACGTTCCTAACCTTTGGCTTGATCATTGCCCATTGCCCATTGCCCATTGCCCATTGCCCATTGCCCATTGCCCATTGCCCATTGCACTTGGCCCTTGATCCCAAATAGAGTAATTATATTTGTAACTCACGTTAGTCAATGCCATCTTTCATCTTTCATCTTTCATCTTTCATCTTTCATCCTCAGCCATACCTACTCTGTAGCTATTAATCCATAATTCATCCGTGTCAGCCCAATGAGCCAATCCAAGTTATTCAATCCCCTCCCCGCCCTCGATCCCCTCGATCCCCTCGATCCCACCCTGTCCGTCCTCTCCATTTCTTCCCCACTCCTCAATGTACCCAATAAAAATATCCCCAGCTTTGATGTTGAAACCACTCAACTGCGTCATACTCGCTCTCTCTCTCTCTCTCTCTCTCTCTCTCTCCACTTCGTAATAACATTTTCGTATCAATTCGAAAGTACGCTACGTTGCTTCGTCCCGGTGTGTCGTCGTAATTGGATTGAATCCACTTTCATCATTTTTCACACCTTGCCGCATCCATCTCAAAGCTGGAGTCAAGGCATCTATCTATCTGCATGTTGTCTGCAATGATTTAATGATTAATGGTTCATCTACGGTCTCTACGGTAGTACGGTATCTATGGCATCTCTAGCCTCTCTAGCCTCGCTCTCTTCTCAATGATATGATTGGTCGCGACTAGGTAACCTGAACTAAAAGGTCATTAGCAACGGCCCTCTCCCTCCTCTTGGTTTCATCCATGTTATGTTGTTGGTGTCCCTACAGAGCCCTTGTAAGCCCGCGCAGAGCACAGCTTTGGAAATCCCTCGTTCCTTTTTAATTCCTCCCCAGCACAGCACCTAAAGATCGAGATGTCTCATTGGTTGATCTTTTTCAGGTACATCTCGATACATCCAATAAAATCACTTCCCCGCAATTAGTCTATACATCAGTGCACGTATTCTTTCCCTCCTCCAATCCGAGATACCTCATACGTAGTATAAGCCAAGATAGTGATTACAAAACTGGTGACCTTGCTTTTGGGCTTGACTGTGCAATGCTATCGATCCCCCCCTCCCCCCCCTGCGCTCATTTTTGCCAATATACACCTGCGTATTCAAATATATAAACATCAACTGCTTCCTCGTTTTCTCCTTCCCTTGATTATAATCTTTCATCCATTTTAACAACCTTTCCTGTGTTACCACATTCTATCTTTACCACCCACACCTCTCGACACAGTCATCAATTTGACTCACAATCCATCCTACACACCTCATACCCCGCCATATACTACTCAAACCCACGCTTTACCTTTGCAAACAACATTGCATTCACATCACCTAAATTTCCTATAAAGTAACATACTTGGATATTTTTAGAGCCCATCATTCATCATCTATCATCATGGGTTTAAAGGCAGTTCATTTCGGTGCCGGCAACATCGGTAGAGGTTTCGTCGCTGAATTTGTGAGTTCATGTTCATTATCATTTTTTGAATCCACAATATATGAGAGCTAGGTCTCACGCCAGTCTCCCGAAACTTTTCAACTGCCATTAATAATCTACCATGACACACATAATACGGAAATATTTACTAACATTACTCTTAGCTTCACAAATCCGGCTACGAAGTCGTCTTCTGCGATGTTATGGACAGCATCATCACAAAATTACAAACCACCCCTTCATACAAAGTTATCCAAGTTGGAGCCGAGGGTACAAGCGAAGATACCATCACCAATTACCGTGCGATAAATTCGAAAACACATGAAGCCGATGTGATTGAGGAGATTCGTACAGCCGATGTAGTAACATGCTCCGTTGGCCCAAATATTCTCAAGTTCATTGCACCAGTCATTGCTAAGGGTATTGATGGCCGAGCCAATGATGCAACCCCCATTGCAGTCATTGCTTGCGAAAATGCCATCGGCGCCACTGACACCCTCGCCAACCACATCAAGGGTGACCACACTCCAGAAGATCGTCTAGAGGATCACCACGAGCGCGCACGATATGCAAACTCTGCCATCGATCGTATTGTCCCCGCCCAAGACCCAGACGCAGGTCTTGATGTCAAGCTTGAGAAGTTTTACGAGTGGGTTGTTGATCGCTCACCTTTCCATGACCACGAACCTCCGGCGATCAAGGGAATCAAATGGGTGGATGATTTAATACCATACATTGAGCGTAAACTCTTCACCGTCAACACTGGACACGCAGCTGCTGCATACCACGGATATTACCACCAGAAGACTACAGTCTACGATGCTCTACAAGACCCTAAGATTCTTAAGGAAGTCCACATGGCATTGGAGGAGACAAGCAGACTGATCGTCGGCAAGCATGGTATCGAAGTACAAGAACAAAAGGATTATGTCGATAAGATCATTACCAGAATAGGAAACCCACATCTGGAAGATGCAGTAGAGCGCGTTGGTCGTGCACCCTTACGAAAACTGAGCAGGAAAGAAAGATTTATTGCCCCTGCTGCCGAACTTGCGGAGGAAGGAAAGGAATTTGGTGCATTGTTAGACGCTGCTGAGATGGCTTTCCGTTTCCAGAACGTTGAGGGTGATGATGAATCCAAGGAGTTGGCCAAGATCATGTCGGAAAACTCACCAGAACAAGTCGTGGAAAAGGTCTGTGGGTTGCAATCGGATCATCCATTATTCCCTCATGTGGTAGCCGTCGTTAAGAAGGTTCAAGCCGATGAGTAGAGTGGTGATCGTAATATTTTTTTCTTGTTCTTTTTTTTTTTGGGTTTTTTTGGAGGGATTTTAGGATGGCGAATGGATAGGCATGATAGGGATGGACTGGATAGCGAGCGATACTTCTGGCGTGTTATGGATACGCAGTACGCTTTCGATGACTTGGAGCGATATAGTTACCCACGGATGATAGCATGAATGAAATAAACGGAATACTAAGTTCAAAATATTTACCACTTGGTCATTGATTTGAAAAATTGAAAATGGTGCCAATGAAAATGCTAGAAAGGTGTAGAATATCCTCTCCACATAACCAAAGAGTGTAGATCATGGAACTTCGTAAAGACTTCTCGATACCTACTAAACAACTCATTGAGGGAGGTGTATTGATGCATTAATCTTTTATTCTGATCTCGTTTAATGTACCATATACGTTGTTAAGAAGTTCGATCAGATATAATGTCAAACACTCGAGAACTCATCACTACAATTTACTTTATAGCAAAATAGCTATTCAACTCTCTTTCGCAGTGACAGGTACCAGATGATGGCGTTGGAGATCGAGGGTAGGAGATAACAAGACAGGAAGGACAAGACTATATAGTGATTGGATCAATTCGATTTGGAGGACTAGCCAGAAAGAAATAGTGATTGATGTGAATTTGAAGACCGAAATTTCCATACACTGTTGAATTTAATATTGATATACAAATAAATTTTCTCGAATTATTGAAACCTTCACTACCATTGTATTTTCTTCATATTCTGGGGATGTGAAATAAGGTTATTACACTAAACCTAATCAGCGCTAGTCATTATCATTCAAGCTGCCACATCTCGAACTCCAAAGGATCATTGAAATATATCGAGGGACAACTTTGAATTCCTGTTATTCCTTCCCTCAACCAATTCTTCTTTTAATACAACTCCGGGTGGTTCAAACGAAAGCTCATAAATCGCCTGACTTCTGCGATTGATTTTACACCAGAAAACCTCGCAGAGGAACCATTTGCGAACCTATTCAATACGTGCGCTGAAAGCCACAGTATTGCTTTTTCTACCCCCCTTACTTTTCAAACATAATTCAATATGAGGTTGGACGTAAAGGTAAGATGAATTCCCTCTTCTGCCAGTAATCTGCAATATTTGTACAGCTGTCGAAAGCTATGATTGCTCTAGCTGTGCCCGCAAACCTGGATAGCATCAACAATCTCAAATTAAGGGAGACGTTTGTAGTTGGGAATATGGAAACAGTCACTAATTCGATTTACAAAACTCAGAGGCAGCTATTTGCTCGATCGGAAAGAGTTAAGGGAATTGATTTCCATCCAGTTGAGCCATGGATTCTAACAACCCTTTACAGCGGTATGTTCGCTGGCGCATTAATTGATTTGAGGATGGAGTATTGATTGTTCGCAGGTCATGTTTACATTTGGTCCTACGAAACTCAGGTTAGTAACATCAATATCTGAATGCCGTCTTGTGCTAACAATCTTCAGGCTATTGTCAAAACGTTTGAGCTGACAGATGTCCCTGTCCGAGCTGGTAGATTCATTGCTCGAAAGAACTGGATTGTTTGCGGTTCCGATGATTTCCAATTACGAGTTTACAATTATAATACTTCGGAAAAGATCACCACTTTCGAAGCCCATCCAGATTATATTCGCGCCATTGTCGTTCATCCTACGCAACCTTTCGTTTTGACCGCTTCTGATGATATGACAATTAAGTTGTGGGATTGGGATAAGGGTTGGAAATGTGTGCAGGTGTTTGAAGGACATAGTCATTATGTTATGGGACTAGCCATCAATCCAAAGGATACGAATACATTTGCATCGGCATGTTTGGATAGAACCGTAAAGATCTGGAGTTTGGGATCATCCACAGCAAACTTCACACTCGAAGCCCACGAAACGAAAGGTGTCAACCATGTGGATTACTACCCTCAATCCGACAAGCCATATCTTCTCACCACTTCAGACGACAGGACGGTCAAGATTTGGGACTATACTACAAAGTCTTTGATTGCAACTTTAGAAGGACATACAAGCAATGTTTCGTTCGCATGCTACCACCCCGAATTACCTGTCATTATCTCCGGTTCCGAGGATGGCACAGTCAAAATATGGCATGCAAACACATACAGATTAGAACAGTCCCTGAATTATGGATTGGAGAGAGCTTGGTGTGTCAGTTATCAAAAGGGGAAACAGGGAGTTGCTGTTGGTTTTGATGAAGGTGCGGTAGTTGTAAAGATGGGCCGAGAAGAGCCTGCAGTATCTATGGACAATTCTGGAAAATTGATCTGGGCTCGACATAGTGAAGTTGTCTCGTCTATTATCAAGGGTGGAGGTTAGTATTTCCAAGTGATTATAAGTTCATTACTAATTTATCCGTAGATGCTTCAGTAAAGGACAATGAACCAATCTCCTTGCCCACGAAAGATCTCGGTACCTGCGAAGTATATCCACAAACTCTTCTCCACTCTCCCAACGGCCGCTTTGTATCCGTATGCGGTGATGGTGAATTCATCATTTATACAGCTCTTGCATGGAGAAATAAGGCTTTTGGCTCGGCATTGGATTTTGTTTGGGGTTCGAAAGATAACAGTAATGATTACGCGATTCGGGAATCGGGAACCAGTGTGAAGATCTTCAAAAACTTTGTGGAGAAGAGTGGTGGTCTGGATGTTGGCTTCCAAGCTGAAGGTTTGACAGGCGGAGTCCTTCTTGGTGTTAAGGGCCAAGGTGGTATTGGTTTCTATGACTGGCAAAGCGGTGGACTTGTTAGGAGAATTGAGGTTGAGCCAACAGAAGTACGTATGTCTGATGTGAAATTTTAACAAAAGCTGATTGATATAGGTATACTGGTCTGAAAATGGAGAATTGGTCGCTATTGCATGCGAAGATACCTTCTACGTCCTCAGATTCTCGCGAGAGAATTACATTGCGGCTTTGAATGCCGGAGAAGTTGATGACGATGGAGTCGAAGCTGCGTTTGAAGTTGTGACAGATATCAACGAAACGTATGTCAAGTCCAGGTCAATACAATTAGAATGCTAACATGAATTAGTGTACGAACTGGTGAATGGGTAGGTGATTGCTTCATCTATACAAACAGCACCAACAGACTCAATTACCTCGTTGGTGATCAAACCTATACCATCTCTCATTTTGATCAACCTATGTACTTGCTTGGATACATCCAGCGCGACTCTCGCATTTACCTCGCTGATAAAGATGTCAACGTCACTTCTTTCGCTCTTTCTCTTGCAGTCGTCGAATACCAAACTTTAGTCTTGAGAGATGATATGGATACAGCTGCAGAAGTACTCAGCACGATACCAGGAGATCAACTTAACAAAATTGCTCGTTTCCTCGAGGGCCAAGGACACAAAGAATTGGCATTGGAGGTTGCAACTGATAGCGAACATAAATTTGAGTTGGCTCTCGCATTAGGTCATCTTCCAATAGCTCTTGAGCTTGCCCGTGAAGCAGATGTCGAACACAAGTGGAAGACAGTTGGTGATGCAGCACTTGCTGGTTGGGATGTCGCACTTGCAGCTGAATGTTTCAAGAATGCAAGGGATCTTGGTTCGTTATTGTTACTTCACTCAAGTACGGGTGATAGAGAGGGACTCAAAGCATTGAGTGCACAGGCAAGCGATGCTGGTGCGCACAATGTTGCATTTACTTGTCTCTGGCAATTGGGAGATGTTGATGGATGTATTGAGCTGTTGATCAAAACTGGCAGAGCAGCAGAAGCGGTACTATTCTCACAAACATACAAGCCAAGTATTACGGTCAAGACTGTGCACGCATGGAAGGCCCAATTAGAAAATGACAAAAAAGGCAGGGTCGCCAAGACCGTCGGTGTCCCCGGTGAAGATGAAGAGCTTTTCCCTGAATGGGAAGAATATTTAAGGTTAGAGCAGGAAGGTAATGAGAACCTCATTGATGTTAATGGGGATGGACATGATAAGATTAATGGCGATGGACCTGACCCGGATGCTGAGGCTGTGGAGGAGGGTTCATTAGAGACGAAAGAAGAAGATGGTGAGGAAGAGTCAGAGGAGGAGTAGTTGAGTAGTCCACAAATAAATTGGGGACGAATTGATTTTTGGGAAATTTCTGGAAGGTGGCTACAAAAGCAGCTGTGGAGTAAATGATGTGTTTGATAGAGAATTAAAGATTTATTATTTCTAGGGCCAGTAGTTATGGTGTGGGGTGATTGATTTTGCTGTCCGATAATGAACGATGAGTGGAGAGCTAGGACGGGAGGAACGAGAATGGGAAGGACGAGTAGAATGGAAGTGCGATTTAGTAAGAAAAATCCTCTTCATCTCGTTCTTTCTGCAGTGTTGATTGATTCTTATGTGGTGAGTTTTGTACCCAGTGGTAAAATTCCTTCTTGAGGAAACCCCCGGAGATGCCCTTCTCAGTGCATTCAAGCTTTCATGTTAGTTAAAACGCAAATCCATTTTCCCAATGACCATTTTTAAATGTGATCATCTACTGTGTCGATTCTTAGCAGTATTCTTTACTCCGTCGCAATCACGTCTGCCTCAAGGGCTCAACTCGTGTCTGACGTGCACACGTGGAGGAATGCTCTGCGTACCTTGCAGCTCAAAATGGAATTGCTGGAACTGCCAAGATGAATGACGGTCTGGGAGCTTTAGAATCACCGAGTCTCGAATTCGTGGATTCTATATCTGCTGCCAAACACTTGAAATATGACCAAGTGGAAAGTTTGGCGCGAGCCGGAAGATGCATAATCAAGCGAGAACATTTCTTCAAGCATAGCTCATTGTTCGATGCTGAAATTAAGCCAGAAGTAATAGATGTGCATCCATCAACGAAGTTGTCGACAAGGACTTTCTCTCAGTTAAAGACTCGAGACTAAACTTCGAGGACTTCGTTGACGGGCACAAAGTTAAAGCACAATCAAACAATCAGGTCGGAGCAACATTTCATGTATTCAGGAAAGATTCACAGATCTACAATGATCTTGACTCACACAGTATTACGAAAGAGTTTGGCAAGATTGAGAAGTCAAAATAATTAATGTAACCATTATTAGGGCTACCAGGGGCTGAATTCCAGAGCGTTAGGGTGATATGTTGATTTTATGATTGAGGGGTTATTCCTATGATTGTTGAAATGGATCAATGACTGCAGTTTAGATCTAGTTGACTCAGGGTGTTAGTCCTACTTGTGGGAGTTGAAGACTAAGTCTTTCCAATAATTTTCTGCTGATCACATCTTGTAAAGCGGACGGGCGAAAAAGCTTTCATACGAGTTTGGCTCAATTTACAACACAAATTTGCAGATCAGTAATCCAATGACGTTAAGATAAAGTAATCGAGAATGGGTCGTTATCTGTCAAAACTTGTTATTGCTATAAATACAGTATATAATAATTGCCGCCTGTCAGTACTCTGTAAAGTTCTTGGTGGTCGACTCAGCTATTCTCTTGAAATCTGATCTCGGCATGAAAATTCAATGAACCAGAGAAGTTCAGACTCCGATTTGCTTTTCCTGCCACATCAGTAATGATGATGGGATCTGTGCGGCAGCAAATACAACCAAAATTCGAAATTGTAGATTATAACTTTCAGCGAAGACTCCACGAATTTGAGTTTGGACCTCTGAATCGAACGTATTAATCATTGAGGTTGATTCCAGAATGAGTGATCTTTGCTCTTTAGTCAATATCTTGTCAAGGTTTGATATGATATTGCTCTTGTATGCGGCAGTGGCAATTGCAATACCAAGAACATCGCCTAGTATTCGAAACTGTGTTATGGAACTAACAGCAACGGCTGTGAGGCAAGACCTCAAAATCAGTCAAGCATTTTTGACGGGGATAGAAATATAAAATACCTTTATCAGCAGGCTCAGGTATAGAATACGGTGTAATCAAGAGCAAAGTCGAAAGATTAATGCCCACACCAAAACCTGCGATTACTTGAAACCCATATTGCGATACTGGTGTTACCTCCGAAACGGTCAGAGTCGAAAGTAATGCAAAGCCGACTATCTGTAAACCGGAACCGATTATGATTAAAAAGATAGGTGGAACTTTAGCTTTCCCAGCTACCACAGTGGATACTATCGACCCAACAGGGCACAGTAGTGTGAATGGAATGAGCCTGAAAGCTGCATTGAGAGCCGTGGTGTTGTCAACCACTTGAAACCTTTGAGGAAGTTGAAAGATCGTAACAAAGTATGGGATACCCAAGAAAACTGCATTACTAGGAAAAGAAGGATCGCATATTAGTTTCAATTGCCGATCCAATAATGATGATTAGGCTTACAGTATCATTCCAATCCAAATTCGGCTAGTCATGAGCCTCCAGGGGAACACTGGCTCAGCGGTTTGTGATTCTAAGCTCACCAGTCGCTCCCAGAAAACAAAACCAACCCTAAAACTACAGGATACTGTTAGAAGAGCAATTACGAATGCCGATTTCCAATCGTATAACTGTCCAGCTTCTTCAAGAGCTGTGACCAAGAGAGCGGTGGCCACCAGTAGTATTACAGCACCGAGGAGATCAACTCGTTTGAATATTTTCGTTGAAAATAGCGAACTGAATCCAAAACCTTTAGATTTTTCGTCGCGTTCGTGATTGGGGAATTTAGCAGGGAGATAGAGAACAATTGCAAGAGCGGAAAGAGCACCAGCTGGTACACTAAGAACCTTTTAGTTTTCGAGAAAGTGATTTGATGAAGGATCAGACTTACTTCAACAGGAACACCCATCTCCAAGTTTTGGAATGGTTGAGTGCCCCACCTAATACAGGCCCAAGTGAGAATGAAATCGAGTAGACGATCGATATAAAGCTTGTATATCTCGTGTATAACTTCTTAGGCACCAACTCAAAAAGTATTATGTTGCCAAGTGCAAAATTACCTCCCGAACCAATTCCTTGAAATGCTCGAAATATTATACTTTACTGGCAATTAGTCCACATCTTTACCATCTGTTGGAATAGATATTGGTGACTCACAGCTGTGTCATAGATTGAGAGCTTCCATAAGCTCCTGCAAATATGGTAAATAAACTGATAGAAGTAACTGCGCATAGCTTTCTGCCAAATATGTCACTGAGCTTGCCCCAAATCATAAGCATGCCTATGCAAAGTTATCAGCGTGTGCTGTTAGTGGAGTTCAAGTCATCTGTAATCGAAACCAGAGAGGTTGTGACGATCGGGATTTCGAGATTGGTGATAAAGAGAGATAGAAAGATTATGAGACCTGTCAGCACTTTTTGCTTGTTCTTTTAAAGAAGTAAAAAAAAGAGCTTCGAACGCAGCTGTTATCATGTGAAGTCTTGCACCCTTTAAATAAATTGTAGTGGCTTGACTTGAAGCTACTTCTTGAGGAATGTCATCGGCTTGCGACGTATCGCTCATGGATGGATCAGATTGAGATACGCTTGACATCTGTGCGTGTAAGCTATGGGCTTTCTCCTCTCCGTCTAAAGCAAGTGTATCAATGTATTCGCTCATGTTAAGAACTTGATATATTTTTCAAGTAGTAAAGTTCGCCTCGAAAATCAAAATGGACTATTATTTCAGGATCTGAGCAAAGTTTGATGATTTAACAATTGTAGAAAGAACGAAAAATTGTAGCTTGAAGATGACACAAACAAATGAGAAATTTGAAATGCTGAAGAAAGATTTCATCAAGACTACTTGAAGGTAACTTACATATATTGATGTTGGTGGCTGTATCTGACCAATCCAACTCTCATAATTATCCCATAAGTATATTCAGCAGACCTATAGTAACAGCACCGCCAGAAAAACTTTCATCACCAACAGTTCTTGTTGTTGGTGTGATCTATGTTCTTCAAATGATGATATATTTTCTGAGTAAGACTGTGATGCGAACCAGACCGATGGTACCCAATTATCTTGTGTAGATGTAAGATACCCACGTAATCATGGCTTATGTTCTTATGAAGTAAGACGAATGGGCATGAGCAGATGTTGCCTACAGCGGCTATCACTCCATTTTGTATAAAGTTGACTATAAGTAGAATCATGACGAACTTAGCTATAATAACGAATTTTCTAGTACCTAAAGCTTCAGATACTAGAAAATACCTGAACTTTATATATTGAAGCTACGTATTATAAATACTTCAAAATATACTTATAAGCAGTCACATATAAGATCTTTTTGTAGAATCAACTTCAATCTTCTCCCTCCGATTTAACAATCTAGACAGAAGTTGATTATGTTTTATAATAGTAAATATTAACTACGATATTGTCACGGGTTCAATACGTAGCTATGTGGATGCCTTAGGCATCCGCCATCCATATAGTCGGCGCCTCTCCGCCTCCTTCTTCACTCCTTGTAGAATATCATACATCTTACCTAGTGCCTATCTCCTGCACCGTGATAGATATGATTTCTATAAGCTGAATTAGAAAGAATAATTATATCAAGTAACTTAATTAGAAGATAATATATAATAGAAATAATAAAATAGATTGAATTGAAGTTAAATCCTAGCAATCTTGTTTACATATATCTGTATCAGACGATATAGTTCCTCGAAGTAATATAATCTTAGTAAATATACTATATAGGGTATTATAGAACGAATCGAGTGACTTTTTTATATATCTAAATATAGAGTGGACTACTAGGATGTAAGTGTTTATACGTAATATTATATGATATATAATCGATAAGATCCAAAAAAAAAGAAAAGTTTTCCATCTAGTACTTTTTATTTTCAATACTAATATAGTTTATAATATTACTCACTAAATACAAAGCTATATTTTCCGGAAATCCTTATTAAACATCAGCCTGTTACGCACAGCTTATATTGATAGCGGAATCAATAACTATAAAGGATATATTCATGATGACTGGAAAAGTTACTCATACTTATTAAAGTATGTACGAAAGATAGACTATACCGCTATTTTATAGATTCTACCTAATCTGAAGACACTATAATCAAATTTGCACTACTCTTCGGTGCCGGAGATATCAACTCGTCTTTGTCAAAAATCTTACATACTCAGTTGACTTCACAAAATGGCATATTCAAAGTTTAAGTATATCAAAAAAAAATCAATTCTAATGTGTAGACTAGCAGGAACCAAGTTGCAATCACCAGAAATTGGTATTAGAATTCTTAGCCATGTTCCTCACGAAGAACTGTGCTTGAGAAATCCCAATTGCTGGTCCATGACTTCTTTGATGATTGTCTCTGGCTTGGCCCATCGAAGACCAAGTTCTTTCTCTGCCTTCGAAGTATCGGTTTTTGCCACCTTAGGATTTGTGCTCGGTTCAAGCTTGTGAGGCACTGTAGGGTAATCCTTTTGTAGAACATCAACAACATCTTTCCAAGTCATTGGCTGTCCGGAGACTAAATAACTTGAGCTAGAATCGAGAGCCGGATTCAGAGCTTTCACATGCGCATCTGCCACATCTCCGACATACACAGAAATAAGGGGACCATCCGACTGCGCACCGTTCATAATGCTGCCAAACAAGATACCATTAGTGCTCCCCTGAATTTCCTCGGCCGACTTTTGGATCAAACTATGCCCATACACCAGAGAGGGGTGAATAGTGATGAGTACGAAGCCGGGATTTTCTTTTCGATAGAACTCCCAACTTGCTTGATTGGCCAGAAGTTTTGAGGCGTGGTATATCTTGAAAGCAGTCAAGAAATCATTTCCCTCATCGTAGTCTCGATTGATATCTACTGACAGGTCCAGGGATGTATCCTCTGTAGATACACATTAAGTCAGCTTTGGAATTCCAAGTGAAACTTTGACGAACTAAACTTTCAATACAAGCCCATCCGTAGGGCCATCGAGTGGTGTCAAAGCAGCGATTGAGGATGTGATGACGACTTTTTTGATGCTTGGGACCTTGGCTGCGTCTCTCAAAATGTTTAGAGTTCCTTCTATTGCTGGTCGATATATCTTATCTTTGTCCGCAGATTGAGCTAGCGGAGAAGCCAAATGCAAGATATACTCAACATTGTCCAAAACCTTAGAAAATGCGCCAGGTACTGTGATATCTGGAACGACGACAAACTCTAAACTATTTGCATGATCGGAAAAGATGTTATTGAGGCTGTCGATTTGTGACTCCTTGCGAACGGAGATGCGGAGACGGTAGCCGGCGTTGAGTGCAGCTAAAGCAGTTGAAGCTCCAATGAAGCCAGTTGCTCCAGTGATAAAAACTAGACTAGAAGGCATGACGGCAAATTTTGGGTGAAGGGGGACAGTTTTGGATTTGAGAGTGAACGAAGACGTGTGAGTTATGAGTGTGGATGGTGTAAATGATATTTCAAAGCGGCTGCTTCCTTAAATACATATAAAATCATTGAAGTGTCTGTCAAAGTGGCTATCACAATGGAGAATGTCCCCCCATTCATTTTGCACCGAAACCATTATCCATCAATCTCAGACATGAGCCTACGGTAGACTTTCATTTGTAAGGAGATTTCGTTAAGCTCCGCTTAACGTACTTTCCGGATGAAAACTTGGGCCATGTCCGAACCCTGCAGGTGCTCCTTAGTTACACTTCGCTTAGGCGTTCGAGTGTGGCTCGTGTCCTGGCTGCCTGGTTCTTGAAAAACGTATCTGTAAACAAGCACAGACGAGAAACTGAAACTATGTCCGGCATTTACCTAATTTCAAGTGGGATCACATGATCTAGACTACCTTTTTCTCATTTCTTAGGGTTAATGTTGATGTATTTTATTAATTACTTCACAAGCTCTTTTGTTTATATCAAGCCGTAGTATTCTTAATTGACCAACATGAAGATCACTTATCATAGAAGCAATGAAACCTTTTCGTCAGGTGTCCTTCAAATCGCATTGTCTCCCCATCATAAATCCCGTCCTTAGCGTCTTGATACTTTCGATCAGATTGTGCCTGAGAACCACTTTATTTACATGATATATTTAGTGACAACCGCCGGACAATTTATACCTCCGAAAATTGATTGCTCATCAGATAACGATCATGCAGGTCGGCCACGCTAAACTAATCAACTGCTTGATTAGTGAACATGAAAGTGCCTAGGCACTTTCAGTAAATGCGGGCAATCCTGCTCTCAAGGAGTACTTCCGCGTCCACTTATAAGTTTTCGACTCACCTTCATATTTATAACCTAAACTCCGAGTCCTTGCCGTCATCCTCTTGCAACAACATTATTCATCAAGGTCGTTTCAAAATAAGCACACTCAAACAATACACAATGCTGTCAGATGACAATTCCAGACATCTTCTCTATGTTTGTGCAGGCCTCAGTATGTTCACAGCCTACAAGCATACATCTCTAGGCTTCAGTGAACTTTTCCCCAGAATCGATCGCGGACTTGGCTCTTCAGAGCCTCTGACGGCCTTCTCCGCAAAAAGCAATTTCCTGCAGGTTGGCGCTTCTTGGGCTCTCATTGGTATGTTGATATCTCCCCACCCCACTTCAATCCAAGATTTGCTTCGAAGTGCTGCCCAAGCTCTATACAAGAGTTTGAGCATAGAATGTCGGCATATAGCTGAAGCTTGAAATAGGAATCCTTCAGCTCAAATGGGCCAAGTTTGGTTTAAATAACGTCTACGATAAGGCAATTCTTGGATGGTATGGGGTCTATTCTTTCGCGTCTGGATTGGGGTACTTCTTGAAAGGCGTGTATGTACCTCTGGTTCCTATTTGGCTTATCCCTGCACTCACTGTGCTAAGTCAATTCTGAAATGGGCGATAATGTTGGAAGTAAAGTTTTCCAGGAAGTAGTTAGAACTCGAAAATCATGAAAGATACTCGTTTTATTATGCGGTTTATGAGTCTGAAATTCTCTACTATTATGAACCCTATAGTAAGAATACTGAATTACTACAAAAATCAGTACATCGAATATATTAGTAAAACGAACAGTATTTTTATATTCTTTAATCTTTTGCTTTAATATACACTTATTTAGCAACTATTAGTAGAAAATCATCTGAAAGAAATTCGAATAATGTCAACTTTTAAGATCATATAGTCCTTCGGAAAAGCTGATAATTTGAAGGACTAGGAATCATTCTAATATGATTTGACTTATATTAGTTGTCAAGATTAAAGCTTGTAGTAATATGATTGAAATTTCATGAAAAATGTTATAAGATAATCAAATTAAAATTGATACTTGTTTAGTATATTTCTAATATGAATAATAAATAGTTCTATATAAACGTAGATAAGCAATTTTAAACTATACGACTACTATAATTACTAAGCGGAAGGACTAGTCTCTTATATGAAATATATCTCCCTATATATAGCTAGCTCCTTGAATAGAATATAACATTGATAATCAAAACCTATACATAGATATATTATCATTTATACTCTTCTCATATAAATAAATTCCAATGCGAATTAAATTGATAATAGATATAATTCTATCGAATAAATAGATGTAATTAAGATCAAAAAACTTTTTTCTTATGATTTTTTTTAGAATTTTACATGAAATAAAAATATACTTGTATATTTGCGTTGGAGTTTTGTATGAGAATCTGAAGTAAATGACAAGTAAGTATTAGTTTGAGAAGAGTATAGATGACGTAGTACCTATAATAATAGGTTCTAAATCTTAATACTATAGTCTTTCTAAAGAGCTAGCTAATGTTAAGAAAAAAGCAATTTTCATATACTTATTAGGCACTTGAGATTAGCCCTTTCGCTTAGTGTACTATAGTGGCTTAATGACACAAGGTCGCTTACCTATGTTCACATTAAGCGGATCGCAAAGGTGAGAATCACATTATCTTTGAGTAAGCGATAGCTGGAGCATGTGTGATTGTGAATCATATCAAACTCTCATTACCTTGGAGTGAAGAAGCCATTCTATAGGACACTCCGCGATACTCACAGCTGTAGAAGTATTCAAATAAATAACCTATAAAGACAAGATACTTAACATTTGACCACTTTCTTTTGAAATATTATAATACAATATATTAAACGAGTATGCGAAAAATTGAAATTGAATCAAACAGATTAGAATTATACAACGCAACCCCACCCCCCAAGAAATACGAGTTCTACAGAACATAAGGGGGGAAATCACTTCTGTCGCCGAGAAATGCTCTGCCTTGTTCATCGCGCTCTCGGTTTCATGCTGTTTACCATATCAATCTAAGAGTACAACTGAGGAATGACTTCTCCAAAAAAGTTTTCCGCGAAAGTATCTGTCTGATTTTGAGCCAATGCTAGTGCTTTGCCGATCAATACTGGAACATCGGGGTTGCTCAATGTTTGTAAGAATCTATCTGCGTCCGCCTTGAGTTCGATGAGTGTCGGCTTCGTAGCGGCATTGATTGATTGCTTGGCAAGACCAATAGCTGGAAGAGAGAACAATACAAAACGAGAGATAAGAGCGTCAATATGGCTATACATTTCCGGAGTGAATTCAAAAGCTTTGTTGATCCATCCAATCTCTGCTGCTTCCACAGCACCGATGTCGTTACCACTGAGAATGTACTCCATAGCACGACCGCGGCCAATCAGACGGGGTAGGAAATTGCTTCTGCCCGCCCCTGGAATGATACCAAGTCCAATCTCAGGCTAACCCATAAGTGTGTGAGTTGTGCTTGCGAATCGCATGTCCAAAGAGGTCAAAAATTCATTGCCTGCACCGCGCGCTTTTCCTTCGACGGCAGCGATTGTGATCTGGTTAAGGGTGCTCATATCGAATAGTAATTGAGCAGTACGGTGACCAACGGTTGGATATGATGTTGGTTAGACAGTATAGCGAAAGATTCTTCTGTAGCTAACTTACCGAAAGGGGTGATCAGAAGATCCAAGTGGTTGACGAAAAAGCCGGCGATATCGCTTGTGAAGAGAACAACTTTTGTGTCCGTATCGTTACGAAGTCTCTCGACAATATCAGTCAAGCCATCGATAGTTTCCAGACCCCAGACATTGACAGGAGGATTGTTAAAAGCCACCTCAAGGACACCTGCTCTAGACTGATTGAGGCGGAGCCCAGGGTAGGCAGGGAAATCGAGAGCCACGATGGTAGACAGAAGCATAGAGAACGCCGAGCCGAGCATCCATGAGGGCGACATCTTGAATGAATCTTGAGTGAATTTGTAAAAGGTTGATAAGGATATAAATACAAGGAGGCAGATACGAGTCGAAAGTGATAGTGATTTGAGAGTGATTCGAAAAGATGGAGGCGAGGAGAGAACAAAGATATACCTCTAAGAATTCCCCTAGGTATATCTAAGTATTCTGCTAGACCTGAGAGCTCCGGGCTTTACTTGGGTAATTTTTAAGGATTCCTAGTCTCGGTCAGTGTATTCTCATTTATTAAGGTTTGATAATTTAATTTTATAAGTCCGACCTTGATTCACAACAGGTACGCATAACTTCATCTGATCCGTCGAACTACCATTTCACTTTGCACCGGCAGCTTGACGTTCTAGAGTCTGTTTATGACTCCGGTATAGTGGATCTCTTGATTTTTAATGTTCACATAGGGAGCCAGAAGTTCGTCTTTCTAGTTGTGCAAGTCGACGTGGAGAGCTGGCACGGGACAATGAGTTAAGCAACATGACGACATCAGAGTAGACAGCAAATTATAGAATTTTACTAGAGCTTTCGATCATACATACCAACAACCTTGAGTGCCTACATTTCTCCGCCCCTTCCCCCTGAGAAGAAGAATTTTCCTAACTTTCAGGCATTGCGCAAAGCAACGTAATATGGATAATGGCCGATCCAGACGATTTCAAGTAGTAAGATGATTTTTTAATTTAGAGGTGACTTGCTTTTATAGTTGACAGGGGGTTTCCCCGTAACATGGTTCGGGGACACTAAAGTTGATCAAAATGCGGAACAGGGTTCGACAGTGTTCGGATACCGGCGAATCATATAAGCAGGGTTCCTATGCTAAAGCCAAATGCCATACGATATCTATAATCTTGATAGCTGATGTAGCTACGGATGCATACCTTTCCATAGTATTGTAATATCACTGTATTAATGTCATGATATAATAAATAGTTTTCTGTAGCCATGTCGATTCTATCAATGTTAATTTCGAAATATTTTCTTCACAACACCAAATTCAATAAGTCATCATGTCAAAATCACTCGTTACTGGTGGGGCAGGCTTCATTGGTCTCTATACCGTTAAGATACTTCTTGAGCGTGGCCATTTTGTTCATACCACTGTCCGCAGCCTGAAGAACACTCAAAAGCTGAAGGGGCTTTTAGATTTGCAGAACAAGTATCAGGGACAACTATCTTTGTTTGAAGCCGATCTTCTGATAACTGGCTCTTTTAAAGACGCCATGGCAGGCTGTGATATAGTATACCATATAGCTTCGCCATTCCTCGTCCCACAACAAATCAAGGACGGGATGAAAGACTGCATCGAACCTGCTCTGAAAGGCACTAAGAACGTCCTACAGTCCGTCAACGAGACCCAAACTGTCACGCGTGTCGTTCTCACATCATCCAGTAAGAATTTTCTCCCTGATCGAAACCGTGTTTTAGCATACATCTGACTCCTCGCAGTTGCAGCAATCTACGGTGGTAGTGCAGATGTACTAGAGATGAAAGACTCGACCCTTGCTGAGAACTACTGGAACGTCACAAGCACCGCCGCCGAGAATCCATACAGTTATTCGAAAATGATTGCCGAGCGTGAGGCCTGGAAGATGTAGGAAGCACAAAGCCGTTGGAACATGGTCGTCATAAACCCTGGACCGTCTCTATCACCCGAGTCAGCGTCTGGATCCTTATTCATGATCGAGAATATGTACCGTGGTGAGAACAAGATGGGTGCACCCGAGCTTCAATACCCCATTGCGGATGTACGAGATGTTGCAGAGGCACACGTGAAGGAAGGCAGACTCCCAATGCGAACGGAAGATATATAATTGCTGGTGATCACAGCTTGAGTATCTTAGACATGGCAAACCTGGTTAGGCCGATACACAAACAACCTAGCTTACTTCCTAAGAAGAATCTTCCTAAGGTCATGCTGTATGCTGTCGGTCCCTTCATGGGACTCTCGTGGAAATGGGTATGCGCAAACATTGGCATTGGGTACAAGGTCAATAACCAGAAAAGCGCCCGTGAACTGGGCCTTGCATATCGCCCGGTAGAAAGCGTCGTTCGAGATCACTACCAATCTTGGCTTTCCACCTTATCATCATAATCTTGTTCACAGGATCGTATCAACCCCTTGACAAGACAGATCTCTCAATCTAGAGTCAGGACACTTTTACTAGCAAATTTTCCAAATCATTATAATAGCTTTCTTTACCCATTGCCGCTTCACGACTTTGGTTAGAAAATAATAAGATTCTGTTGTCAATTATGCTGCCTATCATTTTTTTCTGCCGCTACTGGCTACTGCTGTCGTCGCTTCAATCTGCCAAGTTGCAACTTTCTCAGTATGTAAGGGACTTAAAAAATTTATATCAAGGAGCCATAAAGATAGAGCATGCACAAATGTTTCTATAGCTTTAGTAAATAACCTTGACAGCTTCAGAGCTACACCCAGTTAGTTTTAAGAATCCTTTCTATCACATTTTCTACACTCTACTTCTGAAGCCCCAAGTTCCTACCCCATGCATCCGCCTTGGGCGATAAGTCCTGTCGAAAGAAATCACAAACTTTGCCCACACATGAAAAGCTGTAAAAGATTTCCCTCTCGACAGAAGGTTTTCAGCATACGCAAATTCCTTAGCTTGACTTGTATTCTCGATTTTTCATTTCACCCCTGTAGCTTGGCTGAACACTTAAACACTCTCAGTTTGCGTGGCTGCAAATGATGGGATTTCAGCAACTCTGTTACGGATACCCTTTTTGAAATTCATCGGCGATGTTAGAAAAGCTCGAGAGGTGATAGAAAGCCCTGTGGTGGCAGAATCCGTGATTAATGAAGTAGACGTTTCGTTATTATAATAAAATCTTCAATATATTTATTGATACTAATACCTGGGTGGCCAGAAAGTAAGTAATACTCTATTTAATTATGATCTATTAATCACTTTGTATTTTATTATCTTATGGGATGTGCCTCAAGTAAGGTGTGGTATACTTTTTGGTCCTACTAACAACAATTAGATATATCAAACGCTGAGGTATAACCAAGAATCTCGTATTTCCAAAACCTAGACTCATCAAATACTCTAAGAAAGAAGACATCTTAACTTTTAAATGCTTCTACTAGCTGATCATGGCTAGTAATATTTGCCTTTAAGCAGTAACGCGTACTAAAATAACAAAACCACATAGAAATCCTCTCAAATTTGCATCTTGATACCTTGCAGATTCGAATTTGCGGGAGCAGAATTCGGCTTAGGGGATCGATTTAAGAATATATAATTGTATTGTTGGCCCCCATGCTTTGATTAAAGATGGAGGGGGAAATGGTGACGTAAAAGTAACGAGTTGATTTAGAATTTCTCACCCCGTTTCTTTGAACAATGTATGAAGAATTGCAGGGTAACAAATTGCTCTTGATTGTGAGATTCATTGAGTCTTCTTGATCGTGTTCAAGAGCTTCTAGAAGGATTCATGCATGGTATTGAGAGTGGGGTGATAAGATGGTGGTGTTCCAAGGTTCCAAGTTGTCCTTAAAATTTTGAGCTGAGGCTGAGGAGAAATACTGACTCCAGGGCTCTCCAGGGCTATGCAGAATGTGAGTCACGTGTGTGGATGAGCGAACTAATCATCGGGGTAAATTGTGCGAATCTTACGATCCGTTAATAAACGATCGCACTTTGAAATTTGAATGAGTCGTTGATTCTTTGACCCTTTCAAAGGTTTCCTCCAAATTTCTTAGGAGTGAGTAGTCTTTGATCGATTGTGTTTTAGATAAACGCATAAAAGGAAAAAAAAGAGGGAGTGATTTTGACTCACATCATGGCTTGGTACAGTATCTCGGCCAGAACGGGTAGACCTCGGGATAACAAAATTCCATCCAAAAAAAGTATATACAGGGTAATAAGGTTGAGATACAGTCCAAGAAGCTATACCTAGGTATTACAAGATCTTCGGTTTTGGAGATGTAAGTTTAGCGCACAGCCATTTTCTTGTATGTAAAATCAAGGAGCCCAATAAATGATCAGTCACGTTATAAACCGCCTGAAAGATTTGTAATTCTGCTGATAATTTCCAAGTCGACCTTGATTTATGAAACATGCTACCGCTATCAGTTCGATATCTTCAATTCAATATCTTCACCTTCAGCGCCTATAGAGTTTCAAGACTATAGATTCACTATATACCACAAATCGATAGCTCATAGAGCTGCTTTCCTAGGTCGTTTTACTATTCGTTTTTTCTTGGTGGCCTTTGATAACCTTACATTCACTTGGATTTCGCGAGAACGGTTATTTGAATTTTTCTACGCAATTCATTCCTAGCACACTATAACTCCTGGCTAGTATTGTGTTACTATAGATCTAATCACTTATTGATATTCACCCTCGAAACCTGATTGAATTGTTCCTCCGTCTCTTGCTTGTCCTCTCGACAACAACAGCCGCGTAAAGTAGATTTAGAAAGCCAGACTTTCCTCCGGACAGAGATATGAAGACCTTTTCAGCTGCAGGTGGTAGCCTAGAAATTTCTGAAATTGCATGCCAATCTTGTCGACAACGTAAATTGAAATGCAATCGCGCAAAGCCAAAATGCGATACTTGCACTAGGCTTCAACAGAGATGCGAGTACCTCCGTAACACTATTACAGAATCTTAAATCTATGAGAATAAATTATCTTCAAGTTTAGGGCATAATAATAATTTGCCGTATTAATTTTGACATTCGTGTTTATGCATTAGATTAGGAAAAGTATTATTTGCATAATGGATATTCTGGGCCATGGAAGTAATTGCGTTCATTCTCACTACAAGATAATGAGCACTAAAAAGGAAACTATGAAGAACCATTCATAAGAAGCCTAGACATGGTGATTATCACCTTCAAGGCGCCACATTTGGAAGATAACTCAAACGCCTTGTAGGCGTCATGGATTTCATCAAATTCGAAATCTGGGCAATAATTAGTGAAATCCAGACAGATAGAGGATGACACGCACTGTGCGAGACCAGAAAATGAGGATCAATGCTACCTAATTCCACCATCTTGAGCAAATCGGGTGTACTAACAGCATCAATGAGTCGAGTTCTTAAACCTAGCAAGAAAGTCAGCAATATTCAGGATGGGAGAGGTAGTCAAGAATACAAATATTGCGATTCCACAGCTTTTCCAGGTGAAGCTCGCACGATTCACCGAAGACACCCAGGCTGGCGATGGTCCCGCCAGCGCCTATTAGGGCTTGTGCAATCTCGAAAGATTCGACAGTACCGACTGCTTCAATAACCACATCGAACCCTCGGCCTTTGGTCACTGCTAGAGCAGAAGCAATCACATCATCCTGTCCGTTGAGAACACTGAATGTATGATCCGCACCCATGGACTTGGCCATCTCGAGCCTCGGATTACCCCTTCCCACCATTACCGTCATCGATGGACCGAACAGATTCCTAGTCATTTGGAGGATCATCAATCCAATCGGGCCAGTTCCTATGATCGCGATAGTCGATCCAGGTTGAATATCACCATTCAGGACACCACATTCATAAGAAGTAGGTACAGTATCTGATAGGGTAACAGCAACTTTCAAGTCGATGCTCTCTGGCAGTTCATGTAACGAGAACAAGGCATGAGGAATGCGGACATACTCAGCCTGTGTGCCATCAATTGTATTTCCAAGAATCCAACCGCCGGATTCACACTGAGATGGCATCTTCCTACGACAGTAATGGCAAGTCCCGCAAGACGTGATACATGAAATGAGAACCTTCTGGCCAACGGTGAAGTTTCTAACAGCGATACCGAGGGAGTCAATGATACCGACTCCTTCATGACCGAGAATGCGGCCTGGAGTGCATGACGGGACATGACCTTGAAGAATGTGGAGGTCTGTCCCGCATATTGTGGTATGTAAGACCTTCACAATAGCGTCGGTGGGTTCCAAAATGACTGGTTTTGGACGGTCTTCAACTGTGACCTTGTTGTCGCCTGTGTAGATAGCAGCCTTCATATTTATGACACTTTGAAGCAGAGGTTGACTGTACACCACCAAGACAATCTTAGAGAAATGGAAATAGAAATTGAGTAGTAGCTACTAGGCTGATATGTAGCAGGGCACCCATTTATGAATGCGCCGCCATCTAGAAAACAAAGGTGTACAGACCCAGTCCAGAGAATCCCGTGGGGCGGAAGTAAGCAGCTGCGACTATTCATTTGGCTGAGTTAACGTTGTAACTGTCAGTCAAACAGGCAAACATGATGGGTACTAACTACCAAAAGTGGAAGTTTGAGCACTGTGTGTGGATTATTTGGGGATCTAAGACTCGTCAGCCCCTCAAGCAAGAGTGATTATAAGTGGGGATTCAGCTTGCCATTTTCTCGTATGGGACCTGGAGCGGAAAATTTGTCTCCGACGTGACGTGGTTTTTTCCAAGGCCAGTCCTCGACCAATCAGACTGAAATTTCGCTCCGAGGCCAAGTCCAAACCATTGCAAGTTGATGAGATGAATGCTCGTTTTCCACGTTTGTTGGGTAGTACATAGTAACCTGATTATAGATGTCCAGTGTTGCTAGATTTTTGATTCTTGAGAAATAGAAATTGCCATTAGGCCGG